TTGGCGAACCACGAAGCATGAGCTTTGGCGGCCGAACTGTGTTCTGAAAAATAAACACGGAGAGCGGTAGTACATGATGATGTACGAAATATATTGACCTCTCTGTAGGAGGTGAAGTAACATTAGCCGTTTTTAGCCCTTTTGTTATGTAGTGGCGTAGCGCGATGTATTAACTCGCCTCAAGAATCGCGCCACAGGTTGACCAACATCTCGTAGCGCGAGGTGCGAAAGCGAAACGCGTTGCAGCGTGAGAGTGCCGGTGTTACTGGGGAGCGATCGCCGACTACCCGAAAGCGCAGAGGGCGGACTCTCATGCATCGCGTGGGGTGGAGCCGGAGGCAGATGCGGCTGCCGGGATTCTCAAGCGGGAAGGAAAAGCGATCGGCGAACCGTTGTAAAAACTTATACATGTTTTGGATTGTATGTATGGAGAAAATTCGACGCGAGCGCACCCTAAGGGTGGTCGGCGGAGGTGTATGATGATCGAAGAAATTTTCAATTAAAAATAATACTTAGCTTTATTGACGATCGGTGGGTGTAGTCGGCGTGTTGCGACGTTCGAGAGATGGCTTGACGTGTCGTTGGCGATGAAGTTGTCCGGTCCTCGAGCTTTCCGGCCTATCGTCATGACGGTGGTCGTGATTGTCGTTGCGCCGTTCTTTGCGGCGATCATTATTGCGACGTGGTCTGGTGGTCGGAGCTCGGTAGAGCCGCTCGAGACGTGGTCGATGTGGTCTGGTGGTCGGAGCTCAAGACGTGGTCGGCATGGTCTGGACGTGGTCTGGTGGTCGACGCTCGACGGAGCTGCTCGGGACGTGGTCGATGTGGTCTGTGGTCGACGCTCGGCGGAGCTGCTCGGGACGTGGTCGACGTGGTCTGGTGGTTGGAGCTCGAGACGTGGTCGACGTGGTCTGGACGTGGTCTGGTGGTCGACGCTCGGCGGAGCTGCTCGGGATGTGGTCGACGTGGTCTGTGGTCGACGTGGTCGGAACTCGGCGTGGCTCGCTCCGCGGCTCGGCGTGGCTTGCTTTATGGCTCGCTGTGGCTCGCTTGATGGCCCGGCGTGGCTCGCTTGATGGCTTGGCGAGGCTTGGACGGCTTGTTCATGGTTCGATGCGGCTCGCTTAGCGGCTCGTGGCTCGCTCTGCAGCTCGACGCAGCTTGCCGACGGCTCAGACGACTCCATGTATTTGGACTCCGACGTATTGCATTATATACGTTGCATTGTATGGACGCCGCCGAGTATCAAGTACGGGACATGGGACACTGTTGGTGCACGCCTGATGCCCCCCGTATGCATGCAAATCTGCATGTCTTGAATTGTTTGCTGGTCGGCGTGATTCCTCATGTGCTTGGTCATCATGTTAGAGAATAAAAGGAACCGATTAGATTCAATCTGAGTAACTAATAATCATGATGATAGCACCGCATGGGTAAATAAAAAACAAAATAGAATCTTCCTATATGTGCTGTGACGCATGCAATGATGCGCTCCCTCTCATGAATCCGATGCATGTATGCGCTCCTGCGAGTCCGGTCGAACTCAACGATGCCAAATCGTCACGGAGGACGTTGATAAAGAGAACTCCCATCAGGTTCATCGGAAGATCAGCACGCACAACCCCTAAAAGGGGACCCCTACCTGGCGCGCCACTGTCGACAAAATATGGTCGGCAGTCCACCAAGGGGGGTGCCCATGGTGGTAGATTATCGGTAGGATGCGTGTGATCTGGAACCAGATGGTGACACAAGGCGCAGAGACAACGATTTAGACAGGTTCGGGCCGCCTGATCGACGTAATACCCTACGTCCTGTGTCTTTGGTGTATTGTATTGAGATGTATACAGATTAACCTCCCCTCTAGGGGACCCTTGTCTCTCCTTATATACTCCGAAGAGACAAGGTTACAAGTAAAGTATCCAATTTGGTACTATTACAATATCTAGTACAACTTGTAATCTTGATGCGCACGCCGTAATCTTGATGTGCACGCCTTGATCTTACGGGCCGGGCCACCTCGGATGGTGCGGCCCATGTACCATCTTGTGGTACCCGGGGGTATATCCCCCACATGGCCTGGCAGACCGGCCGCCGTCGTAGCCGCCCCGGGCATGGGGGCACGCATGGGCCGACTGGCCCGGCCGCCGCGCAGGCCTGGCCATCATGCAGGCCGCAGGAGCAAGCCGCCAGCCGCTAGCTGACACCACAAGCGGGCATGAGGACGCGGCCGCTCCTCCCTCCTTCAGTCTTTCCCTACGTGAGCGCCTAGGCATGCCGCCGCCGCCCTCCACTCTTTCACGTGGGCTGCCACAGGCAGGAGCCGTGGCGCCGCCCCCACCTTTTCCCTACATGTGTCTGAGAGAGGAGATAAGGGAGAGAGAGAGATAAGGGTTAGGGTTTTTCCCTTTGGTTTTTTGGATCAAAGCCATTACAATTCTTCGAAGTTGGAGAAATGCCATTACAATTCGGGTATTCTGAAACATGCCATTATAATTCTGGGTGTTGCTAGTGCTGGCCATTTTCTACATATGTGAACGGCTCGGTCCCACTATAAGGTCGAGGAAGGCGTACGTGACTTTTGTATGGACATCGATGCCCTTGCTTGCGTGTTACAAGCCGCCGTAGCCCTCTCTCCCGTTCATTCCATCCCCCACCCGTGCTCCTCTCCGTCTTCCTCTTCCTTTCCCTAAGAACCCTAACCCTAGACTATAGCCGCCGCTAGAGACCTACGGAGCTACGACGGTGACCTGCGGAACTGCGACGGCGACCTACGGAGCTACAACGGTTGGTGGTGTCGCGTCTGTGGCTGGCGCATTCACCGGAGGAGATGCAAGACCCATGAAGACGACGGGAGAGGTCTTCCTGCATCTGCGCCGTAGTGCTGCGGCGGAGATGGAGGACTACAATAGCAGGTAATGTGTGCGCGTCCCCTGTTATCAGTTTGAGCACATAGTGTAGTTGACTTGTGCTTGCCTATTTACACTTCGATTTGGGACTCAATTTGATTGTTGGTAGGAATGGTATGTTTGCGGTAGAGGTTAAAGTCCACGGTTTTGCTACGAAAGACTTAGATGGTAGGAAATCATACACTAAAGGCATTGTGATTAAGTGGGATGTGGAGTTTGGGTCTTTAACGCTTGAACTATTGGTGTCAAGTATTGCAAATGAATTGAATGTGCCCTCTAACCAGTTACCCATAGTGTGGTTCTTTGATAAAAGACTGCATGAGGATGTCAGATTAATTAGTGAAATTCAGATGGTTGATGTCTTTGAAATGTACAAGGAAGAGATGGGTTGTCAGCTTGTAGTGGGATTGTTTGATAATGATGCTGAGTTTGATGACCTACAGCCTTTATGTACAATTCCTCCTGAGGTTAGATTTGAGATACCCAACAATGACTTTTCCATTGCCGATGAACCAAATAGTGCTGCTGCTAACAATCCAGAGGCTCCTGAACCCAGTACTACTGTTGCTAACAATTTATAAGTAGATACTAATTTAGAGCCTAAACAAGGTGATGATGTTGATGTAGAGCCTGAGAGGGAGCCTGATCTTTGATAATCCTGAAGAATATGTTGGAGTTGATGATGAACAAATCTATATTTCAGTTGCTAATGCACAGCCAGTTAACAATGCTTATGATTCTATTGATGCTCACCCATCTGATGAAAATGCTTTTGCTGTTGATGATGAAGTTGATGATGCAGACCCTCTTGAGGTGCATGTACTCCATGATCCTGAGAATCCAAACATAATGAAGGGGCACTGTTTCCTGATATTATTGCATTCAGGAAAGCAATTAGGCACCATGCAACGAAGACTGGTCTTGAGTTTGCTAGGCTCAAAACAGACAAGACTAGGTTCTTAGCTCACTGTGCTGCCGAGGGTTGTCCGTGGTGCATACATGCATCCACTATTTTTGATAAAAAAAACAATAAAGGTAATGTGTTCAACTGCTGCTATTTATGACCTATTTGTGACCTTTTTTGACATGCTAATGACCTGTTTGACATGTTTGTGCAGATAAAAGTGCTTCCTGCACAGCACAATTGTCCTACCACCAAGCTTAGAGAAGGAAAGATGGCAAGTCAGGGCTGGTGTGCAGATAGGCTAGCAGACTGGGTGAAAAAGAATCCAAATAAGGGCCCAATGGATGCCAAAGACAAATTGGAGGGTGACTATGGAATTAAGTTGAAGTACTTCAAAGCTTGGTCAAGTTTGCAGGTTGCTCTAGACCAGATTCATGGGTCTTATGAGGAAAGTTTTCAACTTTTATTCAATTGGGTTGCATAGGTTGAAATAAGTTCTCCTGGTAGCATTGTAGAAATAGAATTAGAGACAATAGGTGAACAGAAAAGGTTCAGAAGGATATTTGTTGCTCTGAAGCCATGCATTGATGGGTTCTTAGTTGGTTGCAGACCATTTATTGGTTTAGATGCTTCTAGTCTAAATGGGAGGTATCTTGGGCAGTTGGTTTCAGCTACTAGGGTTGATGGCCAAAATTGGTTGTACCATATTTCCTATGGTGTTTTTTGACACAGAGACTAAAGATAACTGGAAGTGGTTCATGTAGAATTTGCACAGAGCTATTGGGGACCCTCTAGGATTGGTGATTTGTTCAGATGCTTGTAAAGGCCTAGAAAAAGTTGTGGGAGCTGTCTTCCACATGCTGAGAATAGGGAGTGCATGAGGCACTTGTACCAAAACTTCATGAAGCACTACTCAGGTGATGTGTTCACTGACCATCTGTATCCTGCTGCAAGGAGCTACACAGAAGGCATGTTCAGGTGGCACATGAAGAAATTTTTTGAGTTTGCTCCTGATGCAATTAAGTACCTTGAGGAACACCATTCTAGGATTTGGTACAGATGTGCCTTCTCAGAGCTTAGCAAGTGTGATTACCTAACTAACAATGTGTTAGAGAGTTTCAATGCACAGATTAAAAAAGCTGAAGGGACTTCACCTCCATGAGTTGTGCGACAGTCTAAGAGAGCTCATAATGGAGAAGTGGTACATTAGGAAGAAGATTGCAAGGCAGTGGGAGGATGGCATCCTCCTAGGTGTACTCAAGGATCTCAATGCCATTAGCAAAATTTTGAAAGTAGTCAAGGTTGCAACCTGTGATGATGGCATTGTAGAGGTCATAATATTAGATGACCAGAACAACCAGAAAAGGCACACAATGGATTTTGAAAACCACAAGTGTTCCTGCAGGGAATGGCAAATAACTGGCAAGCCTTGCAAGCACGCCCTGGCATGGATTTGCCCTAATAGAGGAGTCCAAATCTCTGACTATGTCTATGAGTATTACTCTGTTGCAAAGTTTAGAGCTGCATAAGAACAGAGAGTGGAACTTATGCCAGACAGGTCCCAATGGCCTCATTTTGAGCTAGGATTTAAAGTTTTCCCACCATTACTTGGAAGAAGACCAGGCAGGCCTAAAGTGGTAAGGATAAGAGGTTGCTTGGAAAAAAATAGTACAAAGAAGAAAGTGAAATGTCGAAGGTATGGAGATTTTGGACACTTCGCCAAGACATGCAAGGAACCTGAGATGGAACCTGATGGTGAGACTGCTGCTGCACTGAATAAAAAGTAAGACTTGTACTATTTTCATTTTGTATCTGTCTACTAAATAGTGGTATCAAAAATAATTTGTTTGAACTAATGGTGCAGGAAGAGGCCGGCTGAAGAAGCTGGACCATCTCAAGTGAAGAAGAAGAAGTCAGCTTCAGCTAAGAACAAGAAGACAGCTAAGAAGAAGAAGAAAACACCAGTCAAGAAAAACTGATGAAAAATGTTGTAGCTCCACCTGCTAAGGTTGTTAGAGGTCTGATGGATATGCTGAATGATGGGCAGTAATCCACCTGCATCTTATTTTGTGACTTAGGAGTCTGTGATGTAAATGACCTTTGTGGCCTATCACCTTAGTGCATTTGAACCTGCAGCTTAATTTGTGAACTTGCTTGTGTGAATGGCCTATATGGCCTTTGGACCTGAACCCGCTGTAATGGCCTAAATGGCATTTGAACCTGATCTGCAATGGCCTAAATGGCATTTGAACCTAAACCTAAGAACTTGGTATTGCCGATGAAATGGTAGATTTAGTCTTATTTTCATATCTTCACTTGTGATGGCCTAAATGGTTATTTCTGATATATTCTTATTCCCTTAAGTTGTGTTGCATTTCAACTTGGCATTGAGATATACATACAACCATTTGGGTCCTATATTTGGGTCATACAATTCTGGATCATACATACACCCATTTGGGTCATATATTTGGGTCATACATTTTAGCTTGGCCTACAATTCTATAAACATACAACATATATTTGGGTCATATATTTCTATTATAACACAAGATTTCAATTTGGTACCCATTTCAATTCATACCATACGTTCATTTCATTACAATTCTAGAAACATACAGCCACACACACATTCTGGAAACATACACACACACTCCTTCCTAACAGAAACTACTACAATCAGTTCACTTCCACATTGCAGCCACAAGCAAACCAAGTAGAACACCAACAAATCCTACAAAAATAGGCGCTAGCACAGAAGAATCCACCACAATCTACATGTTCTTGTCCACTTCAGTTGTCCGTGCAGGCATTGGCTCAACAGGTTGCACCCTCATTTTCCAAAGCTCACAAACAACATTGTCCAGTGTTTGCTTCACCTGTTGTAATTCTTCCTTCAAATCGGCACATCAATCACCAGTTGCATGCTTCACATTCTGCAATCGCCGTTCTGATGCTTCTAAGGCTTCATACTCACATTCTGCAATCATTTTTAGTTACATTGTTTGTTTCAGCTGTTCACTTCCACATACCAGCAACAACCACACCAATCATGACACCTACAAAGCCTACAAAGATAGCAGCTAGAAAAGAAGAATCAAGCACAATCTACATGTTCTTGTTGTAGACTTTAGGCTTCACTGTAGGCATGTTCTTGTTGTCGACTTCAGGCTTCACTGCAGGCATCACCTCAACATGTAGCATCTTTATTTTCCAAACCTCTGCTACAACACTATCTAGTGTTTGCTTCACCAGTTCCAATTCTTCCTTCAAATCGGCGCAACAAACACCAGCTGCATCCTTCACTGACTGCACCCTCCGTTCCTCTGCTTCCAAGGCCATATACTCCTTCACAGAGTGGATGTATGGGCAGGTACTATCATCATCCATCCTTCACTGATTGCACCCTCCGTTCCTCTGCTTCCAAGGCCATATACTCCTTCACAGAGCGGATGTATGGGCAGGTACTATCATCATCCTGCAATCGAAACAAAGGGCATAAATCAGAGATGAATCAACACACAGCGAGCACAACAATATCAAAAACCATAACCTTGATGTTGTACGGGCACTTGTGGTACCACTCACCCTTTGTCGCCAGTTGCTTGCTCTGGATGTGGACCAAAGCAACATGGCAAAAGGGGCACTCCCTTCTACCGTTGGCCGTCGAGCTTAGCCACTGGAAGTTGCCTTCATGGTGCTGCAACTCCACTTCCTAGCCATGGCTTCAAAGTTGGGTGCCGCCATCGAACCGAGCCTTAAGAGCAACAGATGCCGCGGTGGTCGTGCCAGACTGCTCTGCTGTGGGCTACGACGTCGGCTAAGGTGGGGGGTTGGATGCTGGCTATATTCTAGGGTTAGGGTTCTTGGAGGAGGGGAACGGAGAAGAATGAGCGTAGGTCACCGTCGCAGCTCCACAGGTCACCGTTGTAGCTCCGTAGGTCTCCGGCGGCGGCTACAGTCTAGGGTTAGGGTTCTTAGGGAAAGGAAGAGGAAGACGGAGAGGAGCATGGGTGGGGGATGGAATGAATGGGAGAGAGGACTATGGTGGCTTGTAACACGCAAGCAAGGGCATTGATGTCCATACGAAAGTCACGTACGCCTTCCTCGACCTAACAATGGGCCCGAGTTGTTCACATACGTAGAAAATGGCCAGCACCAGCAACACCCAGAATTATAATGGCATGTTTTAGAATACCCGAATTGTAATGGCATTTCTCCAACTTCGAAGACTTGTAATGGCTTCGATCCAAAAAACCCTTTTCCCTTCCCTTTTATGGCTGAGGGGCAAATCTGAGCCATCCATCTTGATGAACGGCCACGGATGGTTGGGCCAAGCAGGCCAGCCCATGAGGCATAGATATGGACCTTTTAGGCCCATTTCGAGTATACTGCACAAAGACCTTCATTTGTGCAAAATTTGTGGCCAGTAGCCCATTATATTTTTCTTTTATGTCAGTGCATATTATTATTATTATTTACTGCAATTTATTTTCTGCACTTATTTAAATTCCGCATATTTATTTATTGCAATTTATATTACATATTTAATCGCATTGTAATTCTGAAGATTATACCTGGAAAATTTTTGTGTAGTCCTGAAGACTATGCATGGTCATGATCCTGAAGATTATGCACCAACATTCACTAACCCTGTACATTAATTGTGCAGGCATGTCAGACATCACAAAGAGGGATTTTGAGGCACTCGCCATGGACGGCAGCAACAACCTCACTTGGGCTACCGACGTCGAGATCAAACTCGACGGCATTAGCCTCGATCATACCATTATGGAGCCTGAAGCTGGCAAAGATGAGCGCACTAAGCCTAACAAAGCAAAAGCGTTGCACTACCTGCAACACCATCTCCTCCCAGACCAAAAGTGTGAGTATATGATGAGAGGGATCCACTGGTTTTATGGCAATCCCTGAAGAACCGCTTCAGCCAGCAGCTGACGATTGTGCCCCCTAGAGCGCAACAGGACTAGATTAATTTGTGCTTCCAAGACTATAAGTCTGTGGCAGCATATAACTCTGCTTTGCATAGGATTGAGACTAAACTGTGTCCAAGACTCTATCCACCTTCCACCCCGGCAATATAGTACTGCAATAGCAATACAGGAGCCCAAAGTACAAGAAGTACTCTGAGCTAAGTGAAGTACTATCTCTTGCTGAACAACAACAACAGAATGAGGTCCTCAAGAACAATCATTCTGCCTGGCCTACTAGTTCTATGGTTGTGCCTGAAGCACATGCTAACGTTGCTAAGAGTTCTTGCAACCGCAATAGGGGTCATGGAAAGGGGAAGTGGAAGGGGAAAAGAGGTGCTATGTTCAAAGGCAAAGAAAAGGGAAAGCCCAAGGGTAGAGTTGGACCCAAGAAGCAAAAAGGTGACCACAATGGGGAAGAGCAAGGTGATTGCTATAGATGCGGAGCTAAGGGGCATTGGTCATGTACATTCCAAGCTTCAAATATAGCAAATAATATATCCGTTTTGATAAGCTCAACGAGCTCTTTGCAATGGTGCACTTCAATTCATCATTTGAGATAGTTTTGTTCTGTGAAAAATTAAATATCGTACAAGACATGTGATAGTACCCAAACTCATGGAACTTGTTAGAATCAAACCCTATAACTATGTTTGGTGATGGAATTAAGCATATATGCAGGTTATGTTGACAGTTTATAATTGGTGGTAACGACCATCAACAAGCTCCCCCACACTTAACCATTGCTAGTCCTAGAGCAAAGCTAAACTTGAACAATGGATCAGGAGTTGCATCAATGTTTTCACTCCTCAAAAGTACACATGCGTTCAAACAAGAATTCTCCTCCGGATTAGAATAAACTGATTTGACTTTCAAACTTACCCATAATACCTTCAACCATGGAGCTTCTTAGCCTTTACTTGGGTCTTGAGCAATTGAAAGACAGAACGATCAAATCAAGCACTATGTCTTAAGTTCTTTGTTTTCACCATTGTTCTAGAGGTTTTATAGGTTTTCAAAATAAAACACAGAGATTTCATTGTACGACACTCTTAAGTCTCTCAATATATGTGATATTTGTGGATCCTCATCAAGGCAATAAAGATGTTATGCCTTTTTCTATTCCTACCACTAAGGCTTATGTGGAGTTCATAAGTAGGGAGAAAGATAGGGCACACATGCAGTGCATATATTGTAAAGTCAAATGATGGATCCAAAGAGAATTGAGTCATAAAATAAAATCAAGACGTGCATGTGTGTGGATGTATGGTGGATATATTTGGTGGCTAACCCAATTCTACTTTGCTTCTGGAAAACTTATCTCTCTTTTCAAACTTGGAAACATTTTTGCAAGAGAACATGGGCTATCTTATTTATCTCTTTTTTCATTTTAGACGGACATCTAAGTACCCATTGTTTTCAATATCTCGGACACTTGTCCATTTTTTCAACTCTTTTTTTTATGAATAACTTTTGCATAGCCCCATGTCTCTTTTCTACAACAAAACTTTGAGAGATAGCTTACAAGAACTTGGAGCATT